ATATCCTGGTGGTCTCGCGAGTCATTGGGAGCGGCATCTTCGCAACACCCGGAACCATCGTCAAATCCGCCGGCAGTGTCGGCTTATCACTGTTGATATGGGCAGTTGGGACCGTTCTGGCAGCCTGCGCGCTGGCCGTGTCGATGGAATATGGCTGTATGCTGCCGCGATCAGGAGGTGAAAAGGTAGTTCCACTGTCCAAATGAGTAGATCAAACTAAGTCTATCTAGGTATACCTGGAGTATACCTATCCGCGTCCTCGGTTCCTTGCGTCGACCCTGATCGCAGTGCAGGCAGTTGTTCTGGGTTTCACGGCCAGCAACTGCATCGTATTCGCCAAGTATACTTTCTTCGCCTTTAATGTGGTGCCCACGGAGCTCCAGCACAAAGCCCTGGCGGTGGGATTGATGACGGCAGTGACAATCATCCACGGCTGCTTCCTTCGGACTGGAATCTGGATCCAGAACGCATTCGGCTGGGTGAAGATATTTCTCATCGGTGCCATTTCCCTGACCGGTATTTGGGTGATCTTGCTTCGCCCTCACGGTCACTCAGACGGTTTTGCCCCTGAACCGACCAGTGTATTCTCGTGGGATACATTATGGGAGGACTCCAACTGGAGCTGGAACTTGCTGTCCACGTCCTTGTTCAAGGTGTTCTACTCGTACGCGGGATTGAACAATGTCAACAACGTTCTGGGCGAGGTGAAGAATCCGATCCGGACGATCAAAACGGTATGTCCGGCGGCGCTTCTCACCGCTGGTGCTTTGTACTTTCTTGCCAATATTTCGTACTTCCTCGTTGTGCCGCTTGAGGATATTAAGAACAGCGGAGAATTAGTCGCTGGTCTGCTCTTCGAGCGACTGTTTGGCAGCCACATCGGACGGACGCTTTTCCCGCTAGCCATCGCCATTTCTGCTACCGGTAATGTGATGGTAGTTACTTACGCACTGGTAAGTCTCTTTGATCTTTCAGTGAATATGTCTGATTGAATAGGCCCGCGTAAACCAAGAGATCGCCCGACAGGGATTCCTTCCGTGGTCCCGGGTTTTGTCGTCCTCAAAACCGTTTGGTGCCCCCCTTGGCGGCCTCATCGTGCACTATATACCTTCTCTGCTGGTCATCGCCCTCCCACCCCAAGGAGACGTGTACAATTTCATTCTCGACGTTGAAGGCTACCCCGGACAGGTCTTCAGTCTGGCAGTTACAGTGGGTCTTCTGCTACTGCGATACCGCGAACCATCTCTCCCACGGCCCTTCAAGGCGTGGCTACCAGCAGTATGGCTACGAGTCGTAGTTTGTGTTGCATTACTCTCAGCACCATTTTTCCCTCCAGCAGACGGGAAGAGCGACGTAAATTTCTTCTACGCCACATATGCGATCGTGGGAATGGGAGTGTACGTATACCCTTGCCATCAAGGAACATGACTAACAAAAACAGTATCATCTTCGGAATACTATACTGGTACATCTGGACAGTGCTACTCCCACGCTGGGGCGGATATAAACTGGAAGAGGAAGATGAGGTGCTGGATGACGGGACCAAGATTACCAAGCTTGCGCGTTCGTATACTTGATCGGATGGTAGATCATGATTAGAAATCAAGCCACAAAGACAGTTTCCACCACATTAATAATTTGTAACATCACATGCGACCTTGCATATATGCCAGAAGTACTGGGGTAGATGATTGGATTTATCAGCGCCAGACGCAGTATCCTGCTCGGATGGCGTGCTTCTGACAAATGTGGATACTACCATATATATAACTGCCCCGGATCTGCACCGGATATCTCTACAATACATCCACCCATCAGCATCGACTCTATTACTTATTCAACCATCTTAAAAGCTTCACAATGGCCTCCGCAGCAGTCCAAACTCCCACTGGAGACGCATCCACCGTCCCCACCAAACCCACTCCCACCCCCTCCTCCGGCCCTCACCACGCCCACACCACCCTCAACTTCCTCAGAGAGCTCCCCGACGGCTCCCACCTCGCCCCAACCTACGTAGGCGTCCCAAGCAGCTACGACCGCCCCAGCATATCCATCCCAGTGACCATCAACGACGTGAGCGGCCACGAACTCGACTACACGCTGGACGGCAACGGCTTCCAATTCTACTACCACACCAGCGCGGAGAAAAACTTTCTCGACGACGAAAAGATCAAGCGAGAATACTACCCTGAAACCGAGCAACTCTTAAAAGATGCGTACGTCCATCCCCATCCCTTCCCCATCCAATTCCTCTAACTAGCCATCAGAACCAACGCCTCCCGCATCTTCATCTTCGACCACACCATCCGCCGTCCCCAACCAGCCGGCACACCGAGCTCCCAACTCCGCGGCCCCGTGAATCGCGTACACATCGACCAATCCTACCGCGCCGCTAAAGACCGCGTAGAATACCACCTCCCAGAGGACGCCCCCCGACTTCTCCGCGGTCGATACCAGATTATTAACGTCTGGCGACCCATCAAGACGGTGAAGCGCGACCCCTTAGCCGTAGCGGACGCCCACACCGTCCCGGATAGCGATCTCGTGCCGACGAAACTGATCTACCCGAACCGCGAGGGTGAGACATGTGCGGTCAAGCCGAATCCTGAGGTCAAGTGGTATTATCGGTATAGACAGGGACCGGAGCTGGTCACGTTGATTAAGTGCTTTGATTCGAAGACGGATGGACGGGCGAGACGCGTGCCGCATAGTGCGTTTGAGTTGCCGGGGACGGAGAATGAGGAGGGCAGGGAGAGTATTGAGGTTAGGGCGTTGGTGTTTCATGAGGATGATCTGTCTGAGTGAGTGAGTATAATACTATATAGTAGGTGGTGTGTTGAGATGCATATTGGGGGGATATTAGGGTTGATGTTATGCTGTTATCGATAAGGATAAATGGTAGGGAGAATGCCAGGACATATTACATACTACTTAGCGTACTAGTTTAATTAAGTACTAGCCCCATCATCAAGTAATACATGCAACCAGTGACATATATTGCGCGATCAACTAAATACCTACAGCACACCCCCAAGGAATGATAATCTATCTAATCAATCCCATTCCCTGTTCTCCCCACGCACACTAAAATGCCGTGCTCGAGCACGTAATCACCCCCTCAAACCACAACATCCACGACAGTCTCGACCGATACCTCAACCCAATACCAGTGGTTGGATTTCGCTCCTTGCTGTCATGTCATGCAAGGATGACGGGCTGCATTAAGTTGGTGGTGGGTTTACCGAGATCGGGAGAATCTTCTTATCTGTATATGAATATGTACTTATATAAGTAGGTGGTAGATACCCTTGCATCTACCCTAATCTTTCCTCTGAGGAACCTTTCACTAGACTTTATTCAATATAGGACGTTTGGGGAAAATGTCTCTCGAAAAACAACCATCCTTAACGGATGAGGAGGTACAAGATACACCATCCTCTACTCCCTTCGAACCGAGTCGGGATCATAAAGGTACATCAATACTACCACTTCCACCCCCCCCTCCTCAGACTGACTACTAATACTCTGGGTATGATAGTAAAATGGTACCGCTCAACAACCTACAACGCCCTAGTCCTCGGCCTCTGCAACTTCCTCGCGCCCGGGATCTGGACAGCAATGAACAGTCTCGGCGGCGGTGGTTCCGAAAGTCCCTACCTCGTTGACGCCGCCAACGCCCTCACCTTTGGCCTAATGGTATTCTCCTGTTTCTTCGGGAGCGTGGTCGTCCGTCTCGTCGGTATAAAATGGACGCTCATCCTGGGCACAATCGGGTACGCGCCATACGCCGCCGGACTCTACACACACAACCGATTCGGGACCGACTGGCTCGTCCTCTTCGGCGCAGCGGTATGCGGACTATCCGCGGGGATATTCTGGATGGCGGAGAGCGCGATCGCGCTATCCTACCCGGAGCCAGAGAACCAGGGCCGGTTCTTAGGGCTCTGGTTGAGTTTCCGCGTCGGGGGCCAGATCCTCGGCGGGGCGATTAATCTGGGGTTGAACGTGCATCGGAATACAGCGGGGAGTGTGAGTTATGCTGTCTTCGGGGTGTTTATTGCGTTGCAGGCGTTGGGGCCGGTGGCGGGGTTGTTGTTGACGGAGCCCAGGAAGGTGATGAGACGGGATGGGATGCAGGTGAAGTTACGGATTGCGCATAGTGCGTGGTATGAGGTGAAGGCGATGACGCGGTTGTTTTTGCGCAAGGAGTTTCTGTGCATTGTGCCGTTGATTGCGCAGGCGACGTATACGGAGGCGGTGATGTTCACGTATTTGGATCTGTGGTTTAGTGTGCGGGTGAGAGCGCTGGGGAGTTTCTTGTCGGGCGTGTTGGCGCTGGTGTCTGGGAATTTGTTGGGCGCGTTTTTGGATAGTACGAGGCGGTTTGGGCTGAAGACGAGGAGTCGGGGGGCGTTTTTTGTGGTGTTGGGGTTGCAGGGTGGGTGGTGGGTTTGGGCGACGGTTGTCACGACGCAGTATACGAATGAGGGGAGGAGTGGGATTGATTGGGTGGATGAGGGGTTTGCGAAGGGGTTTGTGTTGTATTTGATGTGGGTGGCTGGGTTTCAGCTGAATTATATGTTCTTGTGAGTATCCCTGGATGGGGTGAGGGTTGGGATGTGCTAACTGGGATAGGTACTTTGTGGTTGGTAATTTGGCGGCGGATGAGGAGGAGGTGGTGCGGATTAGTGGTTTGTTGCGCGGGATGGAGTCGGCGGTGCAGGCTGTGTCGGTAAGTGGTTTCGACTGATTCTTGTGGATGGTGCTGATGAGTGTAGTATGGATTGAGCAGTGTCGGTATCATGGCTTCTGTGGGAGGTACCTATCTCAACTTTGGCCTCTGGGGCATCTCGCTGCTGCCGGCGTGGCTGGTCATTCGCCAGTTTGGTGTGAGTCTGGAAGATCGCAAGGTGGCGAGGGATTATGGACGTGATTGATGGAGATATAGAGAATCATAGATCATAGAGTATGTTCAGTAAGCTATCTACATGATGCAATATTCACAAATTGAATAAACCGCCCTTGCGTTTTCCACCCGGATAGACCACCATTGCGGAAAGAAACAGACCGACCGTGATTCCCAACGCCGTCTGTATCATACTCAGCGCCAAACCCCCCAGTGACTCTTGCGTTTTGGTTGTGGTGGAATCCGAAACGGTGTCGTTCTTCACTGCTTCTGCATATGCCAATCCCGAGATGATCGATCCACTACTGGCCAGACCAGACGAAACCAGCGTCCACATGCCCGGTACAATAGCCGCAGCAGCATGTCCATGCCACACCCGACTGTACAGGTTGGCACACAATCCGATCGTGAACGCCCCAATCGTACTGCCGAACCGACTGTCCAAGTGGTTGGCGGTAAAGTAGTAGGTCGTGTAGCCTGCAACGCCCATGAAGGACATGATCGGCAGCTGCTTCCATTTGGCCTGGTTGAGGATGGCGGCAAAGGCGCAGTAAACAGCCACAAACACGAATTCCTGCACGTATACGCTGCCGTAAATATTGGTATCCCGTGAAGGGCAGGTTGTGGCCGTGGTCGCATTATCGTCCATCAGCCCGTAGATCGTCAGACCGACTGTCACGCCGTACCCGAGGAAAAGCGAATAAATAATAGTATAGACCAGTCGGATGGACCCTGCCACGATCTGATGCGATTGCAATTCCAGACTGCTACACAGCACGGAGTATCCTGGAAGGATCAGTGCAATGGACGATTCGGCCAGGGCGGAGAAACAGAAAATAGGTTCGCCACTGGAGTAGTAAATGCTTCCAAATGCACGAGCCAAGAACGACGTGAGCATAGCAACAGTAACTTCGAACACGTTCGAGTACAGTGCAGATCGTGGTGCCAGCACATACTGCAATATTCCGAGCAGACAGCCCAGGAAGAAGATGATGGGCATGTCGACCGGGCGCGCGCTGAACGCCCACGGACCCACCGCCACACTCGCGAAACCGGACAGCAAGACCAACAGCCAGGCCTGATGAATGCGACTCTTTCGCGTAAGGAGATCGTCCATCACCGGGAGTGCCTCATCCGGCGACAGTCTGCCATGGAGGACATTTTTGTAGCAGTTGTGAATGTCCCCGAGTCGGCCAAGGTCCAAACCATGGCTAGTCCGGACCAGCTTGACCTCCGCAGTACGGGTAAGGGGATCGTCAAATGAGATAATCATGCAGCCGGGAATGTACATGAATTGGCCGTTCACGCGCAATCGGTAAGCCGTCATCTGCATGTATTCTTCCAGACGATGCGTCGGAGCGCCGAACTTCATCAGTGCGCGACACAGCTGAATCATATACCGCTGGCGGGTGAGAAGCGAGCCAATCTTCTGCGTCAACAGCTCCTCCTTCATCTTCCTCCGACCTTCTTTGTCGTTTGTTGGATCCTCATCGTACCACTTCTTCTTGCGACGTTTCCGCAGATCAGTAGGTAACGGCGCCAGTCCGTCTTCTGTCGATGCTGGGATAGCACCATCGTCATGAATTTCCTCCGGATTATGTCCCATCTGATGACTGAGTAAATGCCAGAGCACACCTCCGACCAGATTCTCATCATTGCTGTTGGTCCGCGACGGAGTCTCACCCAACCCCAGGTTCTTGACAAGATTATTAGCATCAGAACCCAGCACCGACTGAAGCTTAGAAGCGTAGGCAGCATCCTCGAGTTCCTCCTCGGCGAGCATCTCTCTCATCTCGATATCCTCCTGAAATCCGTAGTCTTCCGGGTGCCAGGCCGAGTCGAGTCCATCACCGCCGTCAGGATCACGACCGAGTTTTTCGGCGAGTTGTGAAGTGCCATCGCGGATGGCCTTGAAGAGCACGCCCCACTGGTTACCCCCCGAGGGCGGAGGAGGATTTTCGCGGGTCAACGGGCGTTCGTCATTGTTGGTCGATCGGTTACCCAGACGGTCGTCGTCACTGGAGGGGTCGGTGTCGCGTCGTGGAGGACCCAAATGGGTTTTAGATTCGTCAACTGGGCTGGACATGCTGAGCCGTAGGCATACTAATGACAATAATCACGAGAGGATCCTGCAGCTGTTGTCTCAGTTTTCTGAATTGTTCCTGGCTGTGCCTGAACTCTCGGAAAGCGTACCACGGAACGGCACTTACATGCTGTGGCAAGGCAAAAGGAAGCGGCCGAATGACAAGTAACGGCGGTGCAGAAGTTGGCACGACTTGGGCCGGGGAAAGTGAATAGAATTTGGCGGGAAGAGCAAGAAGAAAAAGATTCCGACTAAAGGGGTGTTGACCCACTAGAAAAGAGGAGAAGCGCCGAGCAAATGATGTTATCCCCGGCCAGATGCTGATCCTCTACGGATTGGGAGGGGTTCGATGCCTAGTCGCTACGTGGATAGCCACGAACACGTCCAGTGCTGCAATAGTCTAGATTGGATGCCATGAGCATCGAGGGAGAAAATTGAGGGAAGACGTCTCCACGGGGAAGTCACTTCATTTCTGAAAGATGCAGCGAATTCCTCGGGCCAGACTCCCCTGAAGGAAAGGAGCTTCTGAAACAACGGCGGATCAGCCCCCACCACAAAGCTTCGCCCCTTGGCACTGGCCGTTGCAGTCCCTGTTCGATCATGAATACTAGCTGGGGAAGGGGAGATTGAGTTGGGATATTATCCCCAGATATGATCGATCGCACTATAATAAGGGATAATTATAGCCATATTACAGATACTAAGTATAGCAGAGAGATGGATGGACTGTGGATGGAGACCGACCCAACCGAGGGGAAGGGATAAACCAGAATAAACTTGAAATGACTGACGGACTAAACTAGTAAGGGTTACTGTTAGACTAGCTTCAAATTCGGGAATAACGGCACCAGTCATCAGTTGTTGTATCCACCCCCTCGGCACTTGCGTCCGACCAGTCTTCCGTGGTTGGCGAGAAATGTCACTGTTTGTCTGCTTTGCATTCCCCTTCTGTTCCAGAACATGTTGAGCCACGGTTCTAGCCATCAGCCATCCTCGCTTACCCCCGACTTGTCATTCCAGACCTGGTGGATACTGTCTCTGCTGTCCATTTATTTGACACACTCCGGACCCCATTCATCCACAATTGTATTGCATTCCATTCCAACCAACACAATTGGATTAGATACCCTCCTAGTCTCCTTTGGTCAATCCTCTTCCGTTCCAAAGTATAACTCGCCCTCCTTCCCATCTCTCTTGAAGATGCCCAGTTCCAAGGCCAAATGCACCACGTCCTCCACCCAGTCGGTGCAGCGATACAAAGGCACGGCCCGGTTCAACGGCTTCCCACTGAGCGTCAGTTGAGCTGGGGGAGGTGGGATTTCCTCGGCACATTCCCGCTCAAATCGGATCACGTCGTCTCTGGCGATCACGGCAATCTTGCGCTTCGAGTCCATCACATAGCCCGGCAGCAGTTCGGGATCGGGGGTGTTGCGATGGCCGTAGTCCATGCCGCGCAGAATGGTGCCCACCACATGGTAGAGCCGACCGCTGTTGCAGAAGGGTTCCGCGTCGGGGATGGTTTCGATGAAGATGGCCAGGTGGTTGCGCACGCCGTGCTGCTCGGTGAGGTAGACGTCGTAGAAGTCGGGGGGTGATTCGTCCATTTTGAAGAAAGGTAAATTCCGTGGTAGTAAGGAGAGGTTTGATAGTAGTGAGCGGATGTTTATGGTAGTGAGAGGATGATGACTGCGAAGTAGAAGAGAGTTCTCTCGCTGGCTGTTCTTTGACCAGATGATTTGAGTGAGGCAGCAGTGCATTCACTGTCCAGCCTGGTGGTTGCCTGCTGTCACTGGTATCAAAGAGTAACACCCCCTGGCGTCAAGTATGCAGGTGAAAGACCGCATTCACATAGCAGCAGGCACTTCACGCTGCCCCAATATCTGTCATGCAGCCTGCACCCATCATTCAAATCTACATCTACTGTTCAAGGAATAGATCACTGATCACCTCCTATCAAATTCTACACCCCATTAACACATCCAACCTCCCCTTGGCCAATGCATACACCGTCTCCAACCGGGGCATCGACACCCCACACTTCCTCCCCAGTCTTACGGCATTCCCCACGATGGCCTCGACCTCAAACGGTCTCCCCATCTTCACATCCTGCAACATACTCATCTCCCTCCCTGTCCCTTCCCTGGCCCTCCTCTCCGCCAATGCAAACCTCTTCTTCGCCGCCTCCTCATCTACCCCTGCAATCCCAACCGCCCTGGCCAACGCCACAATCTCCATCATAATCCCCCAGGCCAAGTCACGCGCAAACGGCTCCGAAGTCAACAGGAACCCACCATCCGTGCACAATGACAACGCACAGATCGGATTCCACGCCGCGTTGAGCAGCAATTTCGCCCACCTTGCCTCTTGTATATCCTCGAACAGCACCGCATCCCCGCCTCCTTTGATCATCAACTCGACGAATTTCTCCGCCGCCCGTGTATGTTCCTCCGGTGCGCGTGCCGGATACGTCCCCAGTTCTAGAAGATCCAGCGGCTCCGCATGGTCGATTACACCAGCTTCTGTCTGTACAGTGGGCAGATATACTACCCCGCTGATGACTGGATTCGAAGGAAACGCGTCCGCGATATCTTTCTCGATGTCGATACCATTCTGCGCCAGGACAATGGCGGTGTGTGGGTGATTTTCAAGCACCGGTCGAAGCTGGTCGGCTAGGGAGGGCGTCCGACCGGGGAAAGCCTTCGTTGTGACCAGCACATAATCGTATTCAGTGTCGCGGGGACAATCGTGCAGCGAGCGAACGGTGTGGTCGGGACGATAGGTGACGGTGCCGAAGCGGGGACTGCGCAGGGTGAAGCCGTGGTGGGCAACGACGTCGTAGTTGGAGCGACAGACAGCCGTGACGGTGCAACCGGCTCGTTGCAGCTGGTGAAGGTAGATGGCACCGACGCTGCCGACGCCGAAGACGAGGACGGAGGGGGAGGCTGTCATGATCATATGATGGTTGCTCTGGGATAACGTGGGAGTCGGAGTTGGTTGGCGGCTGCGCCCGACACGTGGGTCGGTCGGCTGGGTGAGTCTTCTACCGGGTGCAGCAACTTTACCATCTATGAATTTCTATACAGCTTTCTATTATTTAATTGATGGCAGGAAGTGTTATAGATCTATATTCTATACCCCATAAAAACGGTACTGGGTGATGTACATATTCGCAACATATACCACCCACCGTCTCCTTCCACTGATATAGTAACCCTCTAGATCTTCGCCTCCGACTTGAGATACTTCTCAAAGAAATCAGCCAGCTGATTGTACCTATACCATCGTCAGACAAACTCCCCTCAACTCTGCAAAAATAATGACAACTTACCCCCGCTGATACTCCGCCAACCCCTCCGGTGTCTCCAACTGAGCACGAGCACCCATCCAGCCATGCCACATAGTCGGATACGTCTCGACCACGCCTCCAATGCCATTGCCAGCAATAACCTCAGCGTATCCCTTCACAGCCTCAACCGGCTCATCCTTCGATGCCAGCACAATATGCGGAACAGTCAACTTCTTAGCCTCCTCGACATCCATGAACCTATTCCCCATTAGCATCACATCTATGAACCCAACAAACCATAGAGGAGTAATTCGTACCCAGGATGCACCTGCCCCGTCGCAACAAACGGCGAATTCGGCCCGGAGACCTGCGCAGTAACCTAGTACCAAACCCACATCAGCATCACCCCCTTCCCGAATACATCCAACAACCAACTATGAAATGAAAATACATACCTTCCCACCCCAACACAACCCAAACGCGCCCCAACTCCTCACGCCCCCAAACCTCACCCTCGCATCCTCCGCCACCCTCCTTAACACCTCCACCTTCTCGCCGACCGCCGCTTTCGTATTAATAAACCCAAACAGCGCCGCCTTCTTCTCCTCCGTATCGGGCGGGAACCACGCGAGATCTGCACGCTCGCCGTGGAAGAAATCAGGCACTAGCACGAGAGCATTGAGTCGTGCGGCGAGGAGATCTGCCCCTTGGATGGTTTGGTTCGAGATGCCGAAGATGTCGTAGATGTCGATTATGCCGATGGTGGCTGTTGGGGGGCCGGTTATATCTATTACGTAGTAAGTATCGAAATGGTGAGTTGAATGGTTGGCTATAGATTGATGCGATGGGATGGGGGATTGATGGATGTACATGTCTTCAGATCGGCGATTTCGGTGTAAGTTCCCTTGGGTGTGTATCCTGAGGATATCACGGGGGGAATTGTGCGGCAAGCTTCGCAGGTCATTGTTTTGTGGATATTGTTGGGGAGATAATTGGGGTGGTTAATGGTGGATTTGGTGGAATTGAGTGGGATGAGAGCAAGAGGGGTTATCTGTTTATCTATACCTGGACGGACTGAAGATCCTCATTGCCGGAGATAGCTTCCGCCCGGCTTTTAGCAAGTAAATGGAAGAGACCAATTCCCGTGGTGGTCGGGATTGTTCAAGCAGAGACCGGTGGGCCTGGGAGGCCGGTTACGGGCCGGGACCGCTTTTCGATGCAGACCCCGGAGGGGGAGTATTGGTGCGATTGCATGGGAGGAGGGGTTTGTGGTGCTAAGTCCGGCGGAGATAAGAGTATTCCTAGAGTAGGAGGGAACCATATGCCAAATTATATAGGGAGATAGTTCTTATATGGGGAACAATAAAAAGAGCTGTTGGAAGATATTACAATAGTACTCCTCCTGGAAAGCAACTTGCAATACAAATACATTCTAGAGTTGAATTCATCATTATCATAACATACATCATCGCTGTGCTACATCTACTCATGCACTCGCATTCCAGTCGACAATGGCATCATCGCCAACCTTCTCCTTGATGATCCTGTGACTCAGGTCCCACAATGCCGCACCCAAGGTAGGATCCGACGCCTGGGCAGTCTCCTTTCCGGGCTGTGCAGGGTCACTGAAGTAGTATCCGTTCCAGCCCTTTTCTTCAACTTCGGGGCTTGTCGCTGCATATAGTGCGCTGAAAGAGCCGTGTTCGGGTGTCCGACCGGCTGCTAGCATTACTGTTGTTAGCAGCTTGCCCAGGAGGCCGGGATATGCGTCTTTCCATTGTTGTTGCATTGCCGTGTTGACCTGATCTCATGTTAGTACGACCATTTGGTAGGAGGAGTTAATATACTTACAGCACCCGGGTGCACAGACAACGCGTAGATGTTATCATTATTAGGTTTGATCACCCGATCCAACAGTCCGTACTTGACTCCAAGAATGATAGCCAGCTTCGTCCGACCGTATAGCTCCAGATTTCCGACCTCCGGGTTGTTGATCTCCTCTAGCGTCGCAAAGTGCACATTCTTAGGCGCCATGCGATGCTGCTCCGACGTTTCGAAGACGATTCTCGGCGCAGGTGTGTTCGGTAACTTGGACGTCTTTCTCAGCAACGGGTACACCAGATTCACGACATAGAACTGGCCCAGCCAGTTGACCTCGAAATGGCGATCAATGTTATCGTGTGTTTCGCCGTATTGGTTAACGTTTATTCCGGCGGAAAGGATAAGCTGTCGCCAATATTAGCTACGCCATCTCCGAGGATTTTGCGAGTGAACGCACAAGATCCAATCGATCTTCCTTCTTCTTGAAATCTTCAAACACCTGCTTAATTTCGTTCAGGTTGCCCATGTCACAGGGAAACCATTCGATCTGCGCATTCTCGCCGGCTTCTTTCTTGATTTGTTCGATCGCGGCCTGGCCTTGCTCTTCCTTGCGGTTGGTCATGTATACCTTGGCGCCATTGAGAACAAATGCACGGGCGATCTCATACCTGAATTCACGAGTTAGATATGATCGGGTGATTGGTTCATATTGTGGTAGAAACTGACCCGATGCCCAGCGCACCGCCAGTAATGAGAGCGACACGGCCGGTGAGATCATGGATCTCCTTCTTCGGACCGAGAATAGGCTGTAGAACGGACTGCATTTTGGCTATGTGTTTTTGTTCAGAATGGAAGCAATTGTGGAAATTGAATCGAGATAGAAGTGTTGTTGAGGGTGCGTTGGCGCAAGATATTAAGGTTGCAGGGCTAGCTAATTGACTTCGCGCGTAAGTATGATATCAGGATAGTGTCACTGTGGTGCCGTGGCTGGGGCGAAGTGCAAAACAAGGTTACACTCAGGTCGGACATGACTTGATTTTCAGGGCCATCCTGAGACCAGTGAATAGAAGATATTCTAGCCATTGCCCTGTCGACTTATTATGCGATGCTTTCGCTATTGTTTAAGGATAGAGTGGTGGGTGAGATGATCACCCGCAATCTAATCCAGAGGGGACCTGCATAACTATGGATGACTAACGCTGCATGATTATGCGTCATATGTAATCTGGGTTAAAGTGAGATGCACTACGTCATTCCGGTAGCCAACGGCTTTAGAAACTCCAAGGTAGAAAGCTACTCGACACATTCTAGACCATTGGTATGAGGGAAGGAGTCATTACTATCCTGAAATTTTCTAATACAATCAAGAACTCATCGAGGCTTGCAATATCATATCATCTGTGTAAATAATTCATACAGCATATCCTATCACTACCACAATGTTCTCCAGCGCCCCTTCCCAAAACCACCGCCTGAAAGTCACCGCGGGCACATCCTACACACCAGAAACCCACGAAACCATCACTGTAAATAGTACATCTCCTCTACAACTCAAGAGCGACCACTTAACCAGCAATCTCTGGGTGCGCATCAAAGACTACACAGGTATCTACACCCTCACCTCTCCTACATCATCACCAATACCTAACACATCATGGCAGGCTACCCAACCACCTCCCCCAAAACAAACCCCTACTTCGACACATCCCCATTCAACCAAAACCTCTTCTCCCTCACCTTCACCCTCAACTTCACCCACGACGTAAACGGCAATGACCTCGTCTTCGGAAATGACTTCGACCATCCGATCCGTTCATACCTACCAACAGGATTTGGCACGGCGCTGAAGATAGTCAAGTCCACACTTGATCCCTCGTTAGATGGTGACGCATATGCCGACAAGCCATATTCATATAGTCCTGGACTAGCGTCGTGGAATCAATTCTCGATTGGCGAGAAGCAGGAAGATGACGGGCAAGAGGACAATATTATAGTCCAAGAAGGCGGCACGGGGTCTGGTTTGGATGTACGAAAGGAGTGCAATATTCCTGATAGCTCCTCCTCACGGAGAACGCATTTCCAGAATGAGGAGAAGAGGAAGGGGTTTATATTTGAGAAAGGGAGGACTTATGCGGTGGATTTTGGAAATGGGTATTTGGATTTTAATGGTACGTTACGCATTTTTCTATGTGTAGTTGGGTAGTTAGGGGACTATATGCTGACATGCAACAGAGTTCGCGATTCGGATTCCCGGATTTAGCTTCCATATAGGGAAATATGTTAGTGAGAAAAATAATGTGCTGCGGTATGTCTTGAAGAATCGGGCGACGGGGGAGATATATTTGGTGATTTGCTTGACGGTTGTGCTGGAGAAAGAAGCTGGGGATGATAGTGATGAGGAGGGGGAGAGAGATGATTTAGTAGATGTAGAAGATGAACAGGAGGTAGACGATGTGGACTAGCTGATCGGGCAAATATGCTTGTCGATGACCATTGGTGCATAAGACCCTAGAACGATGCAATATTCCGTTGTAGTTCAACCGTAGTTGGAGGAGAGGGTCATTTAGCTATATACAGCAGAAGCTCATTATATCTTCGTCAATACCACTGCTACTTCTCATACTCGCCCAAAGCCCAGTCCAACAACTCCGGATACCACCGCCGCCCGACATCCTGGTGACTCATAACCCGATGTATAAGGGTGCCTTCGCCCACCCGGCCCTTGAATATCTTGTTGAAAGTCGCCTCCGCATCCGACCTGACTTTGTCATCCTTGATCAGATCCTTTATGTGCGCTGGAATTTCAAGGGAGATATTCTCCGCCGACAAATCCAAACTCATGCCTTGGAACACAGGAATCGAGAATCGTGGTCCCAGTGGTGCACCTTGTGCATCGATAAAATTCTCTGCTTCCAAATTGACTCGGTGCGTTGTAGCCGTGCAGACTCCACCCGTGATAGCCTCCAGCGCGCGACCGATATTAACGACCAACGAGTCTTGCATTGGCGGCGCGGGGATCCATTCTCCGGCTTTGTTTTGCACCTCGAGTCCGGTATGAGGCGTGGCTTGGAGTAAGAATGTCAAAAACTCGGAATCCTTATGGGCTCCAACACCTTGTGCTTCGGATGGAGCAGTTGGAGGTGGGTATTTGATCAGTTTCAGCTTCTGCTGTGTTGGATTCTCAAAGAATTGCTGCAGTGCTGTCGGCGGTAAATCCAGTGCTTCTGCGATGAGGATCCTGAACGCCTCGGCAATTGGACTCATCTCCGCCAGGTATGCCTCCACGGCGTGACGGAAGCCAGGGATGGCTTTCTCATCGGGCCACTGTGCTTGTTAGTAAATGATATTCTAGTTGGATCATCTTCATGACGTACCTGATTCGGTCCTCTGATATTACGGTATAAAGGCGCATCTGGTGCCGGGGGAGGCAACTCGGTCGCAAACTGCTATTGTCAGTCCCGAATGGTTTTCCGAGGTTGCGACGGTCGCACATCAAACTGTTCTCGATAATCGGTTTGACGGGCTGTAGTCTCCGCTCCAAGCCTTGAGTATCCCAGAAAATGCTTACTGTTGACCATTTCGATTTCCAGCTTCTTCTCGAATGGCAAATAAAATATGTGGAATGTCTTCTCAATCAGCTCGTCGCGCACCTGAGGCGCGATCGGGGCGTTGATGAGGTAGAAGAAGCCCACGTTAACCAAAGCATTGCGCAAATTGTCGAGAAACTTGGGTTTATTCTCGGATGATGTTGCCTGGGAGTAGTCGAGGATGGGAACAGAAGTAAAAGAGGTAGGATTGACGGTCATGGTGAAGGTTGATATACGCTGTTGATGAGTTACAGTAGATGCGGGGTGGTTTTATCGGAGGCGGTGGAGCGAACGGGTGCTTGCGCCATTCTCTGACTCGCTGACACCTTCCCCTTGTAGTACTTAGACAGCATTTGGACCCCTAGTTGAACGTGTCCATGCGTATCACAGAACTATTGCATACGTCGCAGATAAACAACATATCGGATATTCTGTGCTTGCAGGACTGCTTGTCGATTGCTAGTCTTCATTAATGCTAATCTATTCGTTGGCCAAACAATCCGGTTACCCTTCGTAATAGCCCTATATGTAGGGTAAAACTAATCACAATTTATATAGCTAGATACCAGGCCGCACGTTGGCGGCGAGGGGTCTAATAAAGGTTGTCAAAAGAGGTCCCCTGACCATTCTTTAAAGAGAAAGAACGCATATCTACTCATGTATTAGAGCAGATTACAAAGTAGTTACAATATGGCCATCTCGCGGCTATGAGGAGGGAAGGCTAGTAGACTTGTCTAAGCATCGGGCTTGCTGCCGCCCACGCAAGCGGATATGGGAATGTCACTGGGAAAGAGGGCTTTGAGGAGTGTGACAGCTTTATCGGGCACCCAGTCCATTACCGTGTCATTGTTTCGTTCAAGCTCCCAGCGAATACTGATGTCTAGGTCCTGCCAGGCGGTTTCCATCTCCCGAAAGGCCCTCAATGCCTCCTTCGTGAACAACGTATTAATTGTTATTGAGTTAGTCACTTTGGATGTTTCCTTCAGAAAAGCTAGAAGAACAAATGCAGGGAATTGCCAAGGCGTATGGTCCCTGAAACATGGTGACAAGGGCAACTTTAGTTCCCTGATTGAGGAGGGCCATGGGGAAGGAATGGGCATACTGGGTTGATCAAAGAATGTTCGACAAATCTCGGTAGTTGTGATTTTCACTTCCTTGGGTTTCCACATCATGTAGCGACCAATTACCCATTTTAGGAAGCTTTCTCGGTGGAGGATGGGATTATCCTCGTCTAGGTTCCAGTCTCGTTCGATTATAGGTGGCAAAGGGGAATCAAACGCGCCGAAGAAATCTTCATCTTCGGCCACATGAGCCTGGATAGCCGGGGGCTCGGGAGCTGTCTGCAGAAAAGATCCTTGTTCTTCACGCTTGAACTGGACTACATCATCCTCAACCAATTTAAGGGATAGCTTGATCCGTTCTCTTTCCGCACGGATGGCGGACTCGATTTTGAGTGACAAAGCCTCGGTCCCAACTAGCTTGGCGCGCAGCTGCGTCCATAGGGAGCCTTTTTCGTTCTTATGGTGGAAGGGGTGCAGGAATATGGGGTGTTCCTCAGTGTGTTCAGGGTGGTAGCCAGCAAAGTCTTCTGGGAAGTATGCCCATGTCTCCTTTACTTCCTCTGCTTGGAGAATCCCTTGGAGAATGGATGGCTGCATGCCATTTCCTGCAACGATAGCCGCTTCCCATCCTCGTCGCTCAGCTCGCCAGCTATTCATGTCCGCCTGCACCTGATTGAGCTTCTAGGCGAGGTGCGTGGCATAGTCGTTGCTCATGGTAAAGGCGAGGTCCAGTCGTTGAAGATGATTGGCATACTAAGGTAAGAACAGGCAGTTTCCAGGGTTCGTCGTCCTGCCTTGCAAATTCATTAATCTATATAGGGCTCTTATGTCGGTACGAAGCAGCAGGCTTTCATGGTTCATGTTATAGAACATATCATCTTGTTTGAGCCATAGCTCATTGGTAGTGACCCCAATGATTGCGGTGGGTGCCGTCAAGTCGTCTATCACTGGACAGGGAGGAGGTAAAGACGTGAAATGTCTGAGAGATGGCATGTTAGGTAACAACAGTGTGGTGGAGGGAACATCCGTATGATGGATCCTTGCCCTTTCTCGGTAGAGTCCCGCTTACCTCTTCCGGGTACACGGGGTCTCGAATTGTCATCGTGTGCGGTGTTTCCCTCTATCAAATGCTTCCTAGTCGGCTGAGTTTCCTCGCCTAGTTGGGATGCAGTGGCGGTCGCCTTACGACAATCCATCATGATGCCTGGATCTTGTGGTAGTGATTTCTGTTGGCCCGGTGTGAGCTGTTTGGCAAGCGAGTAGGATGAAAAGCGCCGACTTTGAAGCAGGAAGAGAGGCCAGTACGCTTTCGTCCCCGGGATTTGGGAAGGAAGAAATGAGGGCTCCCAAGAAGACTGGGTGAGGGTACCCCGGGGTGGGCTTCTGAGGTGTATTTGGCCTGGAGAGCTGTAGGAGAACCGACGAATTACCCACACGGTTTCAGATCTTTTGTATCGAAAGAGAGAGGTCGCAGAAGAGAATATAAATGACGATAACGGCTCGGTAAGGGACATCATGAGCCTTCTCCTCACCAGCCAGATGATCAGAAAGAACTGCTCCCGACTCACAACACTACTCAATCCCTTGTCATATTCTTCATCACTCCAGGCTCTGGATTCCAGAAATCGATTTCTTTCGAGGCTTACCAGCTAGCTTACGCTCACCTTAAACTCAACTTCAATCTAAGGCTTCTCACTTTCTCCTAAGAATCGAATCCGAGGATGGACATCGCTGGTAGCACAGATCTGAGTACCAATGGACTCTTAAGGCCCGACAGCATTTTCAGACTCACAACACCCCAAAGTCACCTTACTTTCAATTTATCTTACTCAACATGTAACGCCCAAAACGTATGTTGCGTACCTAGCGCCACCGCTCCTTAACCAGAGGTCTTCCGCTTACAAGCACTGTTTCCTTGACATTGACAACTCTTAGATCACTTGGAGAACGTATCCTGTCTGGTGTACCGCTCACTGGTACGTGGGTCCTCCAGCCACAGAGGCTGGGTGTTAGAAGTTCTCATTCACTTCGTCCTACAAGTCTCGTGACCGAGTAATACCTGCAAGAGCAACACGCTGCCACCCACGAACTCTACCTTGTCAACGCCCACAACTTCTCCCAGCTCACTTGAGCATCTTCCCTTATCCTCTTTCCCGCTTCCAAGTTGAACCTCACCCCGAAGCCTCTTACTGCCTCTTCGTTTCCCTTCATTACTTCTTCATCGTATCCCAAGTCACATACAAGATGAGCTCTGACCCTGAAATCCAGGAGATAACCATCTCCTCGAACGCGGACACCGAGATCCTCATCAAAGAATACACCAGGGAGTGGATCGGTGATAAGGAGATAACAAAATGCGTTTTAATGAAAGTCGAGCGCAACAAGCTACTCGAAGCCCAATACTTTCGAGCAATGTTTGGTCACGCTCGCTGGCTTGAGTCAGGAAGTCAGAGAATTACCCTGGAGGAGGACAACTGCACGGGCATGGAAGTTCTCCTGCGCAGCCTTCACGGCACCCTCGATGACATGCCTCTTGATTCGGTTACTGTTGCCGGGACGTGGCACGTTATAAAGTCCTGCGATAAGTACAACGTTGATCAAAAAAGTTTGAGTTCTTGGTTCAAGGCCTGGGGGGAACATGAACGCCAGAAGCAGATCAACATAGATAACTGCATTCGGTTTTCGAGGGAATTGATGTATCCGTGCTTCGTCTTCGACAATGCGCCAGCTTTTCAGGCGGTCACCAGGAAGCTGGTCTACGGGTGTGTAGGTCATATAACCGAACATAATCCCACTGATATTCTAAGGATGCACCTCCCCCCGCGCATCATCCGTGAGTCCGTCACTATCTTGTTTCTGAATAGGCCACTAACATCTTTATCAAGAACAGCTCAATGCAGCCCGTGGGCGCTTACGCAACATCCTCCACAGAGAGCTGCACAATGAAGTAGCGGCTATCCTCCAATATGGTGACTGTCGGTGCAAAGAACTCACTGTCTTTGAATACTTGCGTGAACTGACCAGAATTGACGTGTGGCCCCTTGAAGAGTCAATGAGAACCGACAGTATTAAGAAGATGCTCGAACGACTGCGTTTGTTTGATGCAAAGAATATGAGAACCTATACCAACCCCAATACTGGACAGGTGCAACCATGCCATCGCTGTAACAAAGCTTGGGGGGCTATTGTTGGGCGAGCAGCGAACACAGTGGCCAAATATTTCGATGGTCTTTGCCTAGATTGCATGGACCTCAGCAAAGATCTCCAGTCAGATGGTGACAGAGATGAGGATTACTGGAAGCATAACGATATGCAGAAGTGGGATACCGGCTGCCGGGTTAGGCATGGAGAGCCGTCGTGGTACTTTAGTTTCATGGGGCGCAGAGAAAAGCGCGGCCTAATCGGCGATTAACGTCTATACCCTATGCTGTGCCGTGCATTGAAATATTGCATCCAATTCTCCCTCTCTAAGTGTGCCTTACAGAGATTGTCCCACACCTGGATGAATCCGTGCTACAAATTCAGCTACCCTTGATCTGGTTCGTGTGTTGTGAAGATGGTTATTTATTTCGCACTCTGAGAACATTCAATACGGTTGATGAATGGTGGAAAGGACCTGTATTTAACACGTGCTGACATAGTGCACCAATGTACCCCAAGCTGTGGAATTGACATTTGCGTTGTTGTCAAGCTATTAAGATATGATACTAAACAGTGGTGATAAATCGTAAGCCTTGACTACATACAGTTACCCGACAGGAGACCATTCAGCTGTCAATTGTAGTTCATTTCTCTTCTCCCGCTTGCGGGTATCCCGGGATATCTTATAACTAAAAAGATACAATAATACAGAAGGAGTTTATATAATGAGCTATTAATTCAACAAGTCATTCTTAGATCTGAAGTCCAAAGTTCCATACCACCAAGGGAGCTTATATGACATTTGATACCTATGCTAGATGTCTGGCCACTGGACTTATAAACAAATAAACTGGTTCAACCCAAGAATGTTCTGACAGTACTATGCACACCCTTAGCTGATTATGGGAGTGACTCGGAGAGCAGTCCATTCAACTATGCGGGCTAGAAGGCAGTAAATAAAATTGGCATCTGTCCATACCGGATTATTGCCCTATATGGAAGGACTCTGTGACTTCAGGCAATGTACTAGAACATTGAATACTATGCCTGGTACCTCCGGGTTTACCTCGGTAAATCAATCTTACTTTTCTCAACATCCAATGATATATATTTACCGCTCATCAAGACTCTTCCGATCAGCCAACAAATTCAGGAATAGTACAGGACACCCAGCTTGCGTCTTACCATCTACCCAATACGAAGGTACACCTCGATAGTAGGTTCAATCCGTGAAGAGCGCCCGTCAGCAATGTTCATCCCGGTGGGATGGCCACTCACGACTGGATCAGATGTAGATCCCTTCCTGGGACGTGAGATAATCCTTCCGAGTATGGCCATATGATCAGCTTGCCCGCGCGGAAGCCCGCGCGGAGTCCCTTATGATAGTGTGAGGATAGTAATTAGTTCTGATCGACTAATGCATGTGCTGTGCAGGGTTGGGGATCCTTCCCCGCATTGTTCGGGTCATGCATGCCCAATGTGTGTAGGCTTAGGGGAGTGAGCGTGTGCTTAAGGTAGTGAGGTTTATCGTTTTGTTGTATCCGACGGTGTCCGAGAGATGTGGTATGGTAGTGTGTAGATCGGGGATGTGATGTGATTAGGACTGCATTGAAGCTGGTGTATTAACATGCCCTCTGTACGGGTTATTGGTTTGGATTCGGGTTGGGTGAAGGTTGAAAGCCTCAGGCAGCAGATTCCCACTGCTGAGAACAGTCAGCACATCTTGGAAGCATTTCTTAACACAACTTCCTACATCCACCCCACAACAACTGTACTAAAATTGGTTGTGATTTTGTATCGGCCGGGAGTTGGATCACGCCCGCGGAATCTCCGTTGGGATTCTCTCTTGACCTTAAAAGGGGTTCCTGTGTTCTGGTAGACTGGTACAGACCCTTCCAGTCCTCGGTTACGGCTCCACCCATCGCTGAAGAACCCCACTCCTCATGTTTCCATTTACGTTTCGGTCTAACGCTGGCTTCTCCACCAGGAAAAGGACGTGTGCTCTTCTCCCAACTTCCTCAGATTCTGGCGTGGTCCATGTGCATTTGCCAACAAAGTGCAAGTGCTTTCAACTGATACCTGCGGACCTGCACTGGCTACGCTTCCTACACGGTTAGAAGTTTGGCATATATTGGATGCGCTATCCGTGAGATGTCCTCTTTCCAGCTGGCGGGATGTGGACTAGAATCTCTGCAAAGTTATGCCAAGATTCGCATGGGCCAATCCAGGAGCCGGGAGTTAGAGGGGCGCAGCTGAGACAAGATCCTCTTCTCTTTCTGCCACTTGCACCTCTGGTCCCCCAGGACACACATTTATTGATTGCACCCTGAATGTCACCGGTAGATGGTAGATACGAAACAAGCTGTGATCCGGATGGTCCAGTGTCAGAGTACGCCTAAGGCCGGAAACTACTCCCGCACGACAGACAGACACAGACGCGTAGCTATAAATTCCCATGTCGTGTGCTTATGCTAGTTTTTGGGGCCTCAAGCCCACGCTAGGGATGCCTGAACAACTAATGTTGCAGGATTGGTCTCCATCCTATCCCTGTCACTGACATCATCTTACTCCCTAGTAACTCACATCGGCTATTGTATAGAGAGATACGCCCATCGCAACCCACGTGTTGGCCAGTTCATCCACCCAGTGTCAGCATGGTCTGCACCAGTTGTTACATCATGATGTACCGAATCATTTTACAGACACGGTCATCGGCTAATAACGGTAGGTGCCTCCGGAATATTGCTGTTTCAAAATGCCCTTTGTAACTCTATGAAACGACCAAAGTATCACGGAGGTTGCTCCGGACAGGCGGAAAACACAACCACTTTGTCCACGAATCGATGCAGTAGTCCTCCGGTGGGTTTAGTAGTCGCTTGATGATAGTATATATAACAGTAGATCTGGATACTGCGGATAAGTCATCCAGTGGTGACAGCGCCTGCTTTAATCGCCATGTATCAGCTCCTATCAATTGCCTCGGTTCCTCTGCTGGCTAGCCTCGTGCATGGCTATGCCAACCCCGGAGCATGCTCGGGTGTTTGTACCACCCACGACCCCGGGTTGATCCGGAGAGAGTCAGACGGTACATACTTTCTCTTCTCCACAGGAAACAAAATCTCCTACGTCTCTGCATCATCTATTGAAGGACCATGGACCAGTGTTGGTTCTATGCTTCCGGATGGATCGTCCATCGATCTGGATGGCAACGATGATCTTTGGGTAACATGTCTCACTCCAGTATGATCGGCCTATCTGACACTCGCTCAGGCCCCCGATGTTTCCTATGTAGACGGTCTCTATTATGTATACTACGCTGTGTCGACCTTTGGATCCCAAGACTCCGCAATTGGACTGGCAACGTCCGAGACGATGGAATATGATTCTTGGACCGATCATGGCTCCACTGGCATTGCATCTTCTTCCGCCAAGATCTACAATGCAATCGACCCCAACCTGATCTACGCTGATGGCACCTACTACATCAACTTCGGGTCGTTCTGGGATGATCTCTATCAAGTCCCAATGAAGTCAACCCCAACAGCAGCTGCCTCATCCTCCTACAATCTTGCATATGACCCGTCCGGTACTCATGCAGAGGAGGGTTCATACATGTTCCAGTACGGTGACTACTACTACCTCTTTTACTCGGCAGGTATCTGCTGTGGATATGATACGTCCATGCCTGCTTCTGGAGAGGAGTATCATATCAAGGTCTGCCGTTCGACTTCGCCGACCGGTGATTTCGTAAGTATATCCGACATCTAGAGCAAATACTATATACGCAAAGCTAACAATATGCTAAGGTTGACTCCGATGGCACGGCATGCACGGACGGCGGGGGCACGATGGTTCTCGAAAGCCACGGAGAAGTCTATGGCCCTGGCGGACAGTAAGTGATCCTGCAGCTGCCCCACCAATAGTTATGCTAATATGGTTCAGGGGTGTGTATGATGATCCTAACCTGGGTCCGGTTCTCTACTACCACTACATGAACACCACGATTGGCTATGCCGATTCTGACGCGCAGTTTGGGTGGAACACGATCGACTTTTCCAGCGGATGGCCGGTGGTATAAGCAAATCGGTCGACGCGAAGATGGTTGCTGCCTACCAGTGGGTCGGCAAGTTGTATATAGGATTGCTGCTATTGATTCGGCCGAAATATGTTATGTAGTTAGTTAGGGAAATCATGACCCACATGATGCGCATCCCGTGGATGCTCTGCCTGAGGCTCTAGTTTTCTCCAATTTCCATTCGGCTTTTTGTTTAAACTTCGCTGCTTCTCCCCACCCATCCCTCCTAAGCACCAGTGAGGACAATCTTCTTTCCTCCACCACTCTATCCGTGCATGTTTCACCTTGTCAAGCTGATCATCATGTCGCAAATCTGACACCAGTTCAACTTTGCCATGTTTACCCCATTTATGTGGGACAGAAGTTGGGACGGAAATTCGCTCGTTCCAAGCACCGCGAGTCAGTCACATCCGCCGGGCGCTTCAGACTAGCCTAAACTTGGTGACTATCACGACGGTCCTGCTAGAAGTATATATCTACCTTCCTATCTAAGACATCGACCTTCCTAATAAAGTCGCGCTAACGTCCGGTTGTCCTAGACAGCATGGAGTTAAGCTACACTTGGCGCGAATCATATTCACTCGACCAGTCTGATGTACGCCCCCATGCCGTGAGAATGCCCATACATAGTGTGAGATGCTGAAAATTTTCTGGTTCGGATTCTGTCACGTTCAGGTTACCTTCGTCCTTGATATCATATCCAATTCCTTCGATGCGCCCGGGCTCAGCTTCCGCCAAGATCATCGTTCTCGAAGTGATCTGAGTTTGTCGGTTTCATGCGACTATGATCGACTCATAATATAATAATTAAATGATTTTTTCGCTTGATACGCATGCCGCGCACCCTAATGGTTAGATCTTGGTCAATAATTCTCTCGATGTTGGTGATGTTAAGTGAAGGAGGAAGATCAATTGATCGAGCGATGAAAAAATGGCCGTGCTACAGCAGGGAACCTTTCCCGGCAACCTAACCAAGGTTATATATGCTCGAGATAATATTGGTTATGGATTAGTGCACTTGGGCTCTGCAGGGTTCTCCACACAGTCGCTGCCATGCCTTCATGTTTCCATTCTAGCGGCTTCCACAGCGGTGTACACTTCTGGCTACTATGCAGCTTCTGTCGACACTGGTATAGAGCGAGTCATGCTCATCGACAGAGGAACCAGCCATGGTTCAATCCCCGCGGTAAACACTTGTGCTCGTCACGAGGTGATTCTGTGGGTTTCCATTGTCGAATCAGAAAGACAGGTCGGCAGTGGATAGTTTTCGGCTTTTCTCGCTTGCTCCACTCCCGAACCAACGTCAATTCGGGCCTCGTCGCGACCTGTCACCCCCCGACTATCGATCTCCCTATCCGGCTGATTCCCATTTCGCTTCGCATCCTCGCATGCTGTAGCCGAAGAACCCCGATGATGTGAGGTACAATGGCCGATGTTACGCAGGGGACCTCGCGTGGCGTTCGGAAACCTCGCAAATCCCGCGGCCGTGGATTGCGGGCCACTACTGGCTGGTTAGTCGACCAATCTTCCGAGTTTCTTTACTGCTAGTATTCCTTCTGCTGGACAGACCTGCTGACTGCCATAGCCTGATTTGCAAGCGCCGGCATGTCAAGTGTGACGAGGTACGACAATCTGGCGAAATGTTCTCCTTGAAAATATCTTCCTGCTGACTCGGACGCAGGCTCGCCCACAATGCGGCCCTTGCGCCAAGGGCCAACGCGACTGTGTCTATGGGAGCAGCTATGAATCTGGACCTCCTAATATAGGGGATAGACAAACACCCATTGCATCGCACTCCCCTCCTTCATCACATTTGACTACTCAGGTGCATCTACACGAGCCCCTGCGAGTCTTGGTAGATGTCTGCCAGCATGAAGACGCTTCCGCTCACCGAGCGTCCGCTACGGCATCTCCAAGGGGCCAGCACAGCAGTGCAACGCCACATGTTGGTTTACATCAACACAGCCATGTCTCTCCTTCAGCCTCGATTCACGACTTCGCACCCTCTCCAGCTACAGATTCCTCGGTATCGACCAGACTTGCGCCCTTGAGTTGGTTCGAGCTTCTGGCCAATGATGCCGTGAACGCGGACCGGAACTTTTTCCTATCATCACCACATCGAGACGTCAACCCTGCTTGCCAGGGATCAACAACCCATCTGTCGGTCGCAAACCTTCAACCCCACAATGCCAGGGAGTGTCAAAGCTTCCAAGCAGCTTCTTTTGATCGTGATCCAGATATCGAGAACAGGATATCGTCGGCAGCCGATGGCCACCCAAAGCTTCCCGATGACCCGTCTTCTTGGAGTACTTCCGCGCCCATTCAGTTATCCCAACAAGAACACCTCATGTTCAAACACTTTGTCCGGAATATGTCTGGTTGGTATGATTTCTTCGACCCAACGCTACAAATTTCAAGCAAGGTCCCACATTTGGCCATGAGAAATATAGGTGTAATGAAGGCCCTTCTAGCACTCTCGGCACGCCATCTTTCCATCTGGCATACTTACAAAGGTTCGGGGGTTATTCCATACCGCGAAGATGGAAGGAGGATGATGGATTTCCCGGATGTTGATCGCAACATTGCAGTCCAGTATTACTACGAGACCCTACAGTATCTCAATAAGGCTATGCAGTATCCCAGCTACGCATACAGCCACGAGATCATTAGCACGTCGCTTCTGATCAGCACATACGAAATGGTGGATGGATCTAATCGCGACTGGGAGCGACATCTGAAAGGGGTATTCTGGATTCAAAGATACCAAAACAACGATGGAGAGTGTGGGGGGTTGCGTCAAGCGATCTGGTGGGCATGGCTACGGCAGGACGTCTGGGTAGCCATGCGGGAGCGTCGTCGAATTTTCAGCTTCTGGAAGCCTAAGCGACACATCTCCTCGCTGTCTCCCCCGGAGCTGGCCAGTTTCGTTTCATACATCCTTGGACAATGCGTCAACTATGCCTCCCGCGAAGAGTCGGCATCTAAAGACATACAGAGTCGGTTGGAGAGGGGGAATGAACTGCTCTACATGTTGCAGGAATGGCAAGATTATCTGCCGCCGGAGTTCAATCCACTCCCGTGTGAGCAGGACGCGACTGTCTTTCCGCCGATCTGGGTTCATCCGCCTCCGTACGCAGCGGCATTGCAAATACACAGCTTAGCCAGAATTCTGGTGTTATCACACCGTCCGACGGTAAACGGTTTCCAAGACTATCGAGCTGCACAAAAGCTGCTTACTACGTCAGTGAACACAATTTGTGGGATTGCTCGAACTATACGTGAGGATGATCTTGCTGCCAGCCTCATGTCTTTGTACTGTATATATGGGGGTATGATTATTCTCGTTGTCCTGGTATGATTTTTGCTGACCTTTTTGCAGCTGGCATGAGCGTCCATACCCCTCATGAGCGGGCAGCGTTGCTGGAATTGATCGATGTCTTCGAGAGCAGAGTCTGTTGGCCTAGATACTCATTACGCAATGACCTGGAAGCAGAATACCGCAAGGATGGCCTTTCTGGTGTCACGGCATAGAAATGGGTTTACAGCAGATGTCCTTGTGGTTCAGCTGGTACTTCAGGGAAAACTGGCGTCATCCCATGGATGCAGCTTGGGTGGAAGTGGAGTGGGCTGAGGCCCTCGGCACAGCTGTCAGCTTTGTTATCGCCTTGCATTCACTGACACGCGACAGTCAGCCGAGCGATCACGGCGAGATCACCACGGCGCTTCCTGGGCATAACGATATATCTTGACGGTCAAAACATTATATTTAAGTATATGTTCATAATCATAGTTATATTCTAAAACGAAGAAATGAAGGAATGAGCCTTACTGGATAACAGCATGACACCTACTAGCACTACTACCACTACAAACTGTAACAACATATTTCGGAAGACTACATTCAGATGGCCCGCGGAGCCTTCCGACAAAGCATCCGAAACAATCAGCTCATCTACGATGCACGGACTGCACGCGATATCGGACTGTTTCACACACAGTATGTTTATCTATTGCATCTATCTACTGTCAGAGTGGATGAGTTGTCAGCGAGTGCCTCGAGTCGAGGCAGTCGATCGCAGGGCTGGCCGATCGCCGACCGTGGGGTATCGGAGTTAACCCCCGCACAGCCAGAGGGCAATCAAAGTCCATCCGCGCCAATTTATTAGGGAATGTGACGTAAAGTCCGATTGCGATGCCATTGACCTCGAGCCGAACACTTGCGATCGTGGGGGATGCTTAAAGGGCAGAAACACCCCAAATTCAGCCAGACATTGCCTCCAAACACATCTCCCAAACTACCACTCTGCATCCTTCACCTCCTCAACACAATGTCTCCAACTTCCACAGATACTGCCTCCGCCGCCGCAGCCAAGAATGGCACCTCCACACCCTTTGTAAACACCATGCCCGACTCAACCTTCAGCTGGCAGATCACCCTCGCGCAAAAGGTCATTGCCATCACCGGTGCCAACCGCGGCATCGGCCTCGGCATTGCCGAAGTGTGTCTGGCCAATTCCGCCCAATTCGTCTATTCAATGGATCTCATGGAGCCCGGCGAGGAGACCATTGCCCTTCAGACCCGCTACCCGAACTTCCGATATATCCAGACCGACGTGACCTCCGAGGAGAGCATCGAGAAGGCTGTGAATCAGATTGTGGAGGAAACCGGACGCATTGATGGGCTGGTGGCTAATGCGGGTATGACCAAACATCAGCCGGCGCTCAAATTTGAGCGCCCGGAATTGGAGCGCATGTTCAACCTTAATGTGAGTGGACTGCCTGCTTTGTTTGGTCGCGTCGTGCATGCTGCAGCGCGCGGGTGCTTACGGGCAGCAGGTTTTCGGTGCATATTTCTGCGCGCAGATTGTAGCTCGGAAGTTTATCGAGTTGGGGATTAAGGGGTCTATCGTTATGACTGCTAGTATGACTTCTTATCGTCCGAATCGCGTATGTATTCCTTTCTCCAGATGGGGGATGAGAGTGGTGCTAAGTGATCCTAGGCTGCCCCGTCTGCACCTTATGGCGCTACTAAAGCCGCAGGTAAGTAATTCTACTCTATTTTAACCTTGTTGGTATTATACTAACTTGATGTTCTATAGTACGCAACATGTGTCATACCTTGGCGATGGAGTGGAGCAAACACGGCATCCGCGTGAA